TGCTTACAGTAATAGACAAATAAAAGTTCCAAGATATAGAGGCACCTCTGTGCTAATGTTCTTAATTAGAAAAGAATATTTAGTGCAAAGAATTTTTGCTATTTTTTCTCCCACCAAACTTTTGACAATTGAAACAGTTATTTCTGGGTTTCATTTCTTTACCAGTTAATCATGCAGTGTGTTATTTCCCCATAGTACCACTCATAGAAAAAAGGGCACAATATCCTAGAATTGTACAGAATCTCAGACTCCTTTCCACCTCCTTTTCTACTCCAACCTGCCCTTCCAGCTAACTTTCATGGATTTCCAGAGGCCAGAAGCAGAGGGAAAACTGCTGGGAAGAATTTGTGTATGTTCTGTTATTTGCATATGTTTATATAATGTGCTTCCAAACATTCTCTTGTGACCTTGAGTTGTACATTTAAAAATTAAAAGCTTTACATTTCTTTTCAGTTTGAGCAAGGAAATTTTGCCAGTGAATAATTGTGGTGGCCGTCATTTACCATGTTGTAGGAAAATGACCAAAGAAAGAACTTGAATGTAGGACTGGTTAGTCACATAACCATGTTAATTGTCTGTTGGCCTGTTGTATTCTATATTTCGTGTTATAAGCCCATAGTGGTGAGAACCAAAACAACAATGACATAAAAAATTTGTACTCTGTATTTATGGACATCTTTGTGGAAAAAAAAATATGGGTGAATATCCCTAATCTGAAAATTTGAAATCTGAAATGCTTCAAAATTCAAAACTTTTTGAGGATAGACATGATACCACAAAGTGAAAATTCCACAAATGGAAAATTCCACACTGTTTCATGCACAAAATTATTAAAAATGTTGTATAAAATTACCTCAGGCTCTATGTATAAAGCATATATGAAACATAAATACATTTTATGTTTATACTTGGGTTCCATCCCCAAGATATCTCATTATGTATCTGCAAATATTACAAAATTGAAAAAAAAAATCTGACATCCAAAACACTTCTGGCCCCAAGCATTTCGGATAAGGGAGGATAAGAGACATTCAACCTGTGTGTGTGTGTATCTTTTTTTACTTGACCTTAAATTTTCTCATACTAGCCCTATGAGGTTGGGTTAATTATCTCCATACTACAAATGATTATTCAAACAATAAGTACAATGCATGCAGTCCTCACATATCCAACCCTACCTAGTACTTAATAAGCATAGCCTGTAGAAGGTAAGTGGAGGATGGAGGCAGAGCAGTAGATTAGATGTCTTTCCCTCAGGTATTTACCCTCCACTACTTGAGAAATCAAGAAAAAACATGTGAAAGGTCAATAATACATGGAAGCCTATTATTATTCATAAACCCAGATAATTTATAATGAAATAGTAGGTTAAAAGAAGATCAATTACAAGAGGTACTGTAGAATTAGACAAAGACAGTATCTGAAGAAGACATTAAGGTGAAAAGACAACCCACATTGGGAATTATCCAATTACACTTCACCCTTGAACAACACAGGGTTGAACTGCACAGGTCCACTTGCACGTGGGTTACTTTCAATAGAATTTACACAAGTGTGCCTGCTTCTCCTGCCTTTCCTTCCATCTCCTCCACCTCTTCCATCTCTGCCACCCCTGAGACAGCAGGACCAACCCCTCCCCTTCTTCCTCCTCATAACCTACTTAACATGAAGACAGACACGGATGAAGATCTTTATGAAGAATACAGTGTATAATATATATATAACATATATAATACATCTGTAATATAACATATAAAATATGTGATAATCAACTGTTTATGTTATTGGTCAACAGGCTATTTATTAGTAGTTAACTTTTTGAGGAGTCAAAAGTTATATGCGGATTTTTGACTGTGTGGTGGGTCAATGCTCCTAACCCCCACATTGTTCAAGCATCCACTATCTATCTATATTTCATATTTTGCTACTTGGAAGATGTGATTAGAACTAAAAATGTTAAGCTGGGAAGATATATTTTATATATATTCTTTATTTATAATGTGCTTAAGTGTTCAGTGTGTTACAGACTATATCTTAAGTATTCTTCCCACACAGCTCCGTGTGGTTCATATCATTGTTCTGATTTTACAGGTGGCCAGACTACAAAATAGGTTTAAAATGTGTATAATCTTTAAGTTTCTGATTTACAATATATAAATACACATTTTACTGCCTATGTAGGGGCCACAGAGGCAAGTGTTAGAAAGAGTGAGATAGCTAATGATTTTGTTGAATCCCCAGATCCAGCCTTACCAGAATGCATTTTCTCGGTTGATGTGTTTGCTTGTTTTAGCTTAAGGGCCTCAGGATTCAGTTTAAATTAGATTTTTGTCATTGTAATCAAGATAGTTATGATTTCAGTGTGGAAAAATGAATGGGACCAAGTTACATTGAGGTACAATTCAGGGTCCCTCCGGCAGAAGAGCTGGGGAAATTATTCAGGGGTAACTTGGTTTCTCTTTTCATTTGGTAAGAAGAATTTTCTTACCAAATCAATATAACTGAGAGTTGCTTTTTCTTACTTTATGAAGGGGAATTTGCAAATTTCTAACTGAACTAAGCAAAAGATAAAGCAGGAGAAGACTGATATTTATTATTAAACATCTAAAATGAGTGTTGTTCTACTTGGACGGATTTAGAGATATTAAAGTAATAGAAGCTGGGAAGTGATACATTTTTCCATACCCAAATCTCATTTATTATATTTGCACAAGATGCTTTCAGGAGAGCCACTGCCTTCCTCTTTTCTTATGCCCTGGCCTCTTTATCAATTAGTCAGCCAATTTGTCAGTTGTCTTTCTGGCTCCCTTTTCTCTTCCCTTCTCCATAATTTTTCATCTCAAGGAGATAAACCTTCAGAGTGAGAAACTTCTAACTCTGAACTGGGCAAATGACCCAGTGCTGGGTGACTCTGCCAATTATCTTCTTCAAGGAATATGATGCAGGTTTTTTGTATCTCCTAAAGGCTACATTCTCAATTCCTTATCCCACACTCAAAGAGAAAGCGGTGAACTTTTTGCCTTCAAATCTTAAACAGAGGTAGCCCTTTTTCTTTTCCTTTGGTTTCTGATTATCATACTAACACAATTTAGGAGAATGGATAGAACAGAGGTAAATTGGTGTTTTTAATGAGAGTGATCCTTTATCATTCCCAGCAGATCTTGAGTTCTGTGAAAGGAGTAATGAAATAAGGGCTTCAGGATTCATAAACACACACACACACACACACACACCCAAATAAGGTTTCTAGTTAATGTTCTTTATAATAACTAGCCTGGGACTGAGCTCAACATAACCACGTAGACATTCTTGTAAGCAGCTGTTTGGAAATCACTTCAGGGATTTGAGGAAGAGAGCAGGTGAAGGATGGGAGTAGGTGAAGAGGATTCCTGTTGATTCCAAATCTGCCTTTACGTGTCCTCAAAATTATAGAGCAGTTGGAAGGAGCCACTGTAGCCACTAAAGGGAGGCAGGGTAGATCTCAAGAGTGGCTGCACACGGTGGAATCAGTTAAATCAGTTTATAGCCTGGAGGGGAAGAGAAATGAGGAAATGACTCAAGAGTAAGGGTTTAGGGAAGATAAATTGGCATGCATCTGTCCTTAATAACAACTGAGGTTGGAGCAAGAAAAGATGTTCTGGTCATGCTCCTGGAACAGGTTATATTGAGCATCTGGGAAAACATTCTGATAGGTAAATGGGAAGGCTTTAGAATGCATGGAATAGGACAGATACTGAAGTTTCATTTCTCAAGGTCTGGAAAAAGAGATATTTTCACCCAGACTGAGAAGTTCTGCAATGTCCTCAAGCTTTCTTCTCATCACAGGCACCAAGGTTTTGAGTCAGTGTTTGTGCTGAAGGCATATAGAAATATTGGTCATTTCTTCCTTCTGCTTCTGATTCTATTTCACAGGAGAGAAAGAGAAGGAGGGAGAGGAGAAAGTGAAAGAACCAGAGTTAATAAACAAGGGAGAGGTATGGTGAATATCCTGGGTGGGATAAGGCTTTGAGCAATACCCAGCAACTTCAACGTCCATTGACTCATGAGGGGATCTTGTCAAATATCAGATTCTTATTTAGTAGTACTGATTTGGAGTTGATGTTATACATTTATATCAGGCGATGCCAGAGCTGCTAGTCCAAAGATAACATTTAGAATAGCAAAGGCAAGAGATGCAGGGGAAATATAGGTTGAAATGAAGATCAACAAGTTTGAAGGAGAAAAGGAGAGAAATATATGCTACAAAGTAGAAACCTGTAGCCTGAGGGCAAGAGTGTAGGAAGCTGGAACCAGTATTTACCACAAGCTTGTTACATTCCTTCTTAAAGTCAGGGGCATGGCTGAGAAGCTGGAATTTTCCTGCTATTATCTGAATCTCTGCTTTTGGCATCACCATCTCATTCTCTCCCTCCCTTCCCATTTCTTACAATCCATTTATTCCCAAAAGAATTAAAAGACTGAAGCAAGCAAAAAATTGCCATCCCCCTATTATGTCTTGGAAGGTAAGACTGGGAATAGAATCACAGCCACTGAGATAGTTTATGAAAACTAGGAACTCCAGTTTGGGAGAAGTAGCATGGTGGTGAGGCGGAAAGCGTCAGGTGCCCAGATGGGGCCTCTTGCCGCCTCCACGCCGCTCCGCATCCCTGCGGGAAGGTGCTGTGTAGGCTGGGTGGAGGCCACGGTGGGTGCCCGCTGCTGCGGCCAGGCCTTGCCTACCCCTGCTCTCCGGCCCTGCGCACGGCTGTCTGCGCTGGATGCTTGGCCACCTGCTCTCCCATCCTCCAGCCATGCTGCTTGCGTGATCCTGATTGGGTACTTTTGGAATCCCACTGTTACTGATTGGATGTTAGAGCTTGTTGTTGATTGGATGTTAGAGCTTGTTGCTGATTGGATGCTTTTTGAGTCCTACCAAAAGTATAAAAGCAGGAGGAGAACAAGGAAGGGGGGAATCAGAAGTTGGCAGTTGGCTGAGCCTGATGGCTGAATAAAGACTGTTCTCTGATAATTCGTGTGCCGCTCAGTTCTTTCCCTGGTCAAGAGCTATAACAAGAGCTGTAATGTTAGCTGTACACCTTGCCATGAAAGTGGTAAGAACATATGCTTTATCATCTTTGATATGATATCCAGTTTTGGTACCTAGGACATTTATGATATTAAGTTTCTCATCCTCTATGTATTTCAGTTTTCTCATAAAATGTGATAATTATATTACACATAGGTTTATAAAAATACTAAATGTATGTACAGTGCTTAGTGGAGGATTTGTAGTATGGAAAGTACTCATTCTGATCATTCTATTAGTTGAATTAGAAATAATATGAATATCTTAAGGGAGAAATTTAGTGATTTATTTTTCAACAATCTCCGTCTTGAGCCCTGCATAAGATCCTGTGTTTGGAACTCTGGGGTATCCCATTCTTCAACTTCACTTTGAGGATGTTTATAAAGTATGTTACTCATTGTGCGCTGGAGATTCTTCGGTGGAATAAAACTTGGGAAAATTGAGTTATTAAGGTGAGATTAAAATACTGCCCTTGACAGCTTGGAAACTTTAAAACAACCATATTCAACATTGTGTATATATTAATATGAAATCTAAGACCCATTTGTGCCTTTAAGCTTTCTGCACCATCGAAGAGCTCACATGCATGTCCGAGTTGGAGCTGACAGCCATTTGCATTGATTTAGGAAAACTGCTCAAAGAAACATTCATGTATTGGCATTGAATAAGGTAAGTTTACTTTATAGGGTATAGGTGTGGTCAAGAAAAGGATCTGAAGATACTTGCTTATCTAGGAAGAGGTGGACAAGACAATTTGGTGTATTGCAAATAATTTTGGAATCTGGAATCAGATAGTTCTGATTTAAAATTCAATTTGGCTACTTACCAGCTACTCGACATTTGTACCATTATTTAACTGCTATGAGAATCCATTTCCCACTCATAAAATGTGTCTGTATATACACACATATATAACATATGTGCATACATATAAAACTTGTAGCTGTTGTAAGCATTAGTCACAATATTCATTAAAAATAACAGGCATAATCAGGAAGTGGAGGCCTAAAGAAGGTAGCCACATGGAAAGCATATATGCTCACCTTGGGCCCATTCTTTACATTGGCTAGAGATATTGGACTGATAGGGTATGGATTCAGAAAAAGAATATCAACTTAGGCACTAACCCTCCAAATCAGAAGCTTGTGTAAGCTGCATTGATATAATAACCGTTGTTTGGGGAAAATTTCTCTTTGGAGACTAAGGTTAAGGTTCAAGGGCGGGAGATGGTGAAGAAAACAGTGACTCTTGGTAAGTAGTAAGAACAAGGCAAGGGCAAGACCACCAATGCAGACATTCTCTAAAAAGGCAAAACAAGTCTTTAATGCCTTAACAGGTCACATTACAGACTTAACAGATTGTCGTTCCATACAGTCAACTTCACTCTGATCCATTGTTGTGACCAAGAATCCAGCCCCAAAGACACTGGGTCCTAAAGAAGTAAAACCTTGGAGAATCTTTGAGAGAATTGGCTCCTCTCCCTTGCTTGTCTGCACTTGTTTTAGCAAACCTGCCTCTGTCTTTCTCCTTGTACACCAATTTTCACTGCTATCAAAACAATGCAATGGTAGAAAATGACTGCTCCTCAAAATCCAAAATGGACATAAGTTAAGTTTAACGTGTGCAATCTGGCTCTCAGGAATTCCTTAAATTCTAATTAAAGATTATCACAAGAGAGTCAAGTGAGTCAAGTGCTCCTTGTGGTCCAATCAAGATTGACCAGAGGGTCAGGGTCACACAAAAAGACTCCAGAATACCACTCCTGTGGGTAGGGTACCAATTTTCAACTGGACAGACACCACAAGGGAAATGGCCAAGAGTTACATGGATATAAGGTGCAACAGATCTGCTGTGTTGCAGAGAGTGAATGCTACATTGAATAGAGTCACAGGAAAGGTATAATCCAGAACTATCTCAGACTACCTCTCAGGAGGACAGGATAGTAGAGCCCCTTCCACCACTCATTCCATACTTTCACTTTATACTTAGGCACATTTTATTTTAATTTGGAGCCATTTCTTTTCTTAGAAGGATACAATGTGTAAATGCTCCCCTTTACATAATCTTCAAATAACGGATCACATGATAAGAATATACCCACATTTCAGTGACCTCAATGTAAATTCTATGTTGATCCATTTTTATTTTTCATATGTAAATTCTGCATTGAAGATTAATTAACTGTCCCGTAAGTGAGAACAGAGGTGCAGTGATATTTCTCTGAATGTTAAAAGAATTTGTCAGTTGTCATTCTCTTCCTTCCCAGCCATTTGAAGGATAAATGCTGCTGTCATGTTTACAGAAGCATTTGCATGAATCTGAATATTATTGGAGATTCTTATTGACAATTTCTAAAATGTTATAATTTATGTTCTTATAAATCACCATGCAGGCATAATAAAGACTGAGTGTTTATATCAGGGAATGGGCTTAGCAAATGCTAAAAGGAATATCAGTCATTGTTTTCCTCCTATTTAGTCCTCTCCTACAACTTAACTCTCTTAAACTACAGCTCAGAATAATGTCATTAGGATGTATTTCCAGAAGAATGGCAAGTGGATTACATCTTTTGTGCTGCCTAAGGTAATTTAATAAGTGGTATTAGCGTATATGTTGAAAAGGATTATAAGACTTTGTATGCACTCAGCTAGAAAATGCTTGGTTTGATTGGTGCTGACCATAATGGAAACAGGGGAAAAGAGTGATTATATATGAGCCATAAAATTTCCCAAGTAAACATTTATAATTAGACCAAGGTGTATACAAGTTTTCAAAATCTTTGATAGAAGTCAGATGTCATAGAACCTGAAGACTGATAATCACATGTGATTGCCACATACTGGTATTAAATTACCCAGAACACAGCTAGGAAATATTATCATAGACCTCTGAAGATCCTTGACTGGAAATAAAGCTCAATGCTTACCAACCACTTGCTAAGTGCCAGGCACTCTTTCTTTCAGTCTTCACAATAGCCACTGGATAGGTGTTCTACATTTCCTGGTTTATTTATTCTCCCCAACAATCCCATGAGGGAACCATGATTATTTGTAAAAATTAACCATTGAGATTATTGGTAAATAGAAAGATAAATATTAGCTCCATAAACACAAAATTACTATGAAGTACTTATATTTGTCATTCCTACAGTTTGAAGATTAGCTTTTGGGAAAACAGAGCAGGAGAGAAAAAGGTATACACTTTTTCTCGTTCTTTTTCCATTACCCGTAATTGGATCTTTAAATAAAAATAAAAGTGCAAAAAAAAAAAAAGAGAGAGAGAGAATCACATTATAGAAAATTCTCATGCAATAGGATGCCCTGTTTATTTTTCGTTATGTTCAGATACCACTAAATGCCACTTCACTGCAGATACATATTTTATGGAACTCATTTGTGTTTGTACTTCATTATGAATCTCATTTATTTTCTGCCATTATTTATTGGTTATTTTAAGAGGTAAAAATAGTACATGAAAATTAAAATAATAGTTCGGGGCCACTTCTCTCCTCCACCAAGGAAATACTATCTAGAGAATATCAGTCAAGTTGATTTATTTTTATTAAAATTTGCTTTGCAAGAGTCCTTTCTTTATTCTGACGTTAGTGGTAAAATTATAAGTCCGCCTTCAATCCATTCCTTGAAAACTCATATACAGATGGTCAATGGTTTACATAACTAGGCTCAGGTCATATAAATAAATCTTCAAATTCAGACATTATTATAGATAGACTATCTTGGAAATAAACTAAAATATGAGCAATGGCTGTCTGCTTCTGCACATCTTCAGATGATCTTGTTTGCAACAGCAAGAAATGTTGCTCTAAGCCCTGTGGGTGTGCTCAGCTGTAGCTATACTGCTGCTCCATCTAAAAAGTAGTGAGGTTCAGGGGTGAAGCATCAGATTGCAGAAAATGGAGCCATTTTTGAGGGTTTTTATTCCTTTTAGAATAAAAAATGTTTTATGTAAAATAAATAGTGGTGAGAGGGATGTCTGGGTTCCCAGATAGAAAACACCTAAAATCTCTAGCTATAACTGCAACTGTAAACAGAATATAAAAATACAATGAACTGTTATAGAGTGGAAGGAACAAGAGCTTCAAACTTACAAAGACCTGCTCAAAACCTGTATCTACTACTTTTCAGTTTTGTGAGACCAGGCACACTAACATTGTTAAGACTGTTTCTTCATCTTTGAAATGGACAGTTAGGGAAATGTTCATAGCTGGTCTCATGACCAGCTTGGTAGGCTTGGTGCCAATGTGCAGAAGGGACACTAGAGATTGGATTTTATAATCTACAGTATGTGCAAATATTGGTCTAATGATAGAATGACTGCTCTTTCTAGTAGCAAATTGGGATGATGTAGAATCTATAAAAGAAGGTAGTTTTCATTCCAGAATCCTAATGTTTAATATTAAAGTTTCAGATTATCCTTGCATCAATAAACTTTCCTGATTCAAAATTCACAAATTAGGCTTGATAAGCATTAGATCTTTTAATTTAAAAGGGAGCAGGCATAACTTGTTGCCATATTCTGATAGTCTTAAAATTAGCATGTTGAAATATGCCTTTTTTTAAGATAGTGTAGAGTGATGGAAAGGAAGACAGATTGCTCTTTATAGTCCTGGATCTATTAACATTTTAGGTTTGTGATCTAGGACAAGTTAACTAGTTTCTCTTAGCCTCAGTTGTTTCAAATTAAAATGAAGATTGGGATCCTATTTATAACAACCTCATAGTTTTTAATGATACCATAAGCATTTTGTGAAGTGATTTCTCCGTGTTCTGGAACACCCTAACCCCAGATCATCCTCTTCCACTTCTTTCATGTCATGGTTTATGTGCTTCCCTGTTGTCTCCATTGTTTAATTCGAGTCCTCGAGGACAAGGAAAGTGTCTATTATATTTATACTAGTGTTTGCAACATAGTGGATGCTCAAAGATGGCTTTTTTATTATATTTTCTTCATATTAATTTTTATCTTTTTTTTTTTCTACATCACTGTGACCTTTGCTTGCAATCAAAGATGGCTTGAAATGAGGGAGGAAAAAAGACAAGGAAAACATACTTATTGATTGAATCATTAATCAGTTCATTCATTTTAGAAAGTACAATTTAAGTGCCAGGTATTGTTACAATGTTTATCCCCAAATAGTAAACTTCTGAACTCAGTTCTTCTCATTGAAAGCGTCTTATTTTCAATGACTGTTATCATTTGTGCCCTGCCCTTGGATGAGTAGGTTTTGTTCACCTTTTTGCCTAGAAAACTTGTAAGGATCTAAGCCAGTGGGGTCCACCTAATGGTTGTCTGAATGGGTTGAGGAAAGGTAAAACAAAAAGGGAAGAGTAAAGCTGGTTTATAGGTGTTGTGGCTTCTTCAATTGCCTCTCTCTGGGCTTCTGGTTTCTGCCAGGGGCATGGGAAGGATTCTATCAGTAAGAGAAAAAGCCTGGATTTGCTGTCGAGAGAACGTATACCTGGAAGAGGTGATATCTTCTGTCACAATGCTGGCTTCTGTCCTTTTCTTTTTGGAACAGAATTTTTCTTGCTTATTTTCTTTAGAATTTTTTCATAACACAACTTTATTTGGATATTAAAGTCAATTCTTCTGGAGAAAAAATATCTAAAATTTTCTTTAAGCCTGGCATTTCCTGATCCAATTCCTACAAGCCCACTACATGGCCATAGTTACCTCCTCAGAATCTTAAAATGTGTTTATGATTCTGTAAATTTGATTAACAAATAAAGGTCACACTACCTTTTGTTCTACATGGTATCCCAAAAGTCCCCATACATAGGGAAAATGGGAAAATTTCCCTGTATACATTCCTCATATACATTTAGCTACAATTGTCCTTTTTCCCTATGTATGGTGATTTTGGGGACACTCTGTACTTTGTTTTTTTTTTTTTTCTTGAGAGGAAAATATGTCATCCAGTTAAGCCCCTATAAAGACAGACTCTTAAGTAGGGAATGTAGATCTTCATTGTTAGAGGCAGTTTGTCACAGATCACATGAAACCACAGGTATGTATGGTCCTTTTTCCTAGGAGTGCCATTTTGTTCAATGATCTTAGGAAACATTTTTAAACTAGACAAAACATGAATAAATGCAAAACATACTAGAATTTTTAAGATGAACCCACACTGGAAAGAAATATTTCATTTGTACCTGGCCCTTTTGTATGGCTACGTCACCCAAGTGGACTTTAGTGAGAACCACAGGGGTAGGGAATCCTCAGAGCTAGACTTACTCATGACACTCCATAAATGGAGAGGTTTCTGGTAGAATAGACTTATTCTAACCCTAAAAGCATTGTTCCCCCTATTTTTACACAAGTAATCCAAGATTTGAAATTCTAACATTAGAATATTTTTTCTGCCTTTCAAGGATTTGATTAATTCAGACTTGACTATTCATGGTGTTAAAAACTCTCTAGTATTTCCTGCTTCAATGTCTTAGATCATTCTGTTTCCATGTGCCAAGAGATAATTACCCATCACTTAATTCCTAATATATGCATACCCAAATCTTTCTCATTCTTTAAGGTCAATCTCAAATTCTACTTCCTACACATACATACACTTTCTTTAAAACCCTATCTTCCTGCCACTTTCAGCCAGAGATTATACTTAACAAATGTATATTAAGTCTCAATTCTATAAAAAAACATATGTTATACACCAGGGATATGGCTTTGACAAAAGGAACTATCTGGGTTTTATCTCCTCTGTTATCTCTACTTTCACTTAAAATTTGTAACATTTATTTTTTAAACCATTTGTTATAGTTACTTATAAATATTTCATGCAGTGGAAACATCCATCAATCATAATAGATGTTAAGTAAACGGTATGTTCATAGTCTGGTCTGTTCAGGAGTCAGAGAGCCACAAATACAGCTCTCCCCCTACTCCCACTAGCCTACAGTAGTCCTTGGGGGCAATATACTCCATAGCATTCAGCAGAGTGATAAGCAAATGTTAGGAACAAAATAAATATTGGGAGAATGAATAGCAATGGATATACTCTTGGGAGAAGTGACACAGACATTTTCAAGCACGTGAAGTGGGAAGAGCAAATGGGGGATGGGGAAGGAGCCTCGTTAGATATTTGTGAGGTGAGGATTGGGGGTGATTTAATATTCAGAAGCTGAGTTCAAATTGTACCTAACTTCATTGTTTATCAAAGACCAGCCCTATCTACCAAACCCTTAGATCTGGCCCTTTCCTGCCCTTCTCTGTTCTTGGGTGGTGGGGAGAGAGTTATATGCATTTCAGGACCAAGGCCAGCACCAGATTGCCCTTTCGAAACCCATGGCAGTGCACGTCTTCCAGGATCTCACAGCTACAACAGAGGAAGGAAGTTCTGCAGGGCACCATAACAGGAAGGTTTGTTTTTATCCTTGAATCAGTGGTATATCCCTGAGAACTGGATGTTTTATTCAGTTTGGGATTCTCTAATCCCCCAGCTTTCTCTTTTCCTAGAATTAATTTTTCACTGGTGATTCTGATGTTACAGCTAAATTCTTTTTATGGTTCTGATATTATACTGAATAAAAACTAATTTCAGATCAAGAAAA